CTGCCACTCATCCTCTCTCCCTACCTTACTGTTTTCTACAAACTTCCACTCCCCAGAGCCAGAGTTCAGTTCTAAGCCCCAGCGCCTCAGAATGTGACTTCAGTGTGACTAGGGTCCCTGAAGATGGAATTCATTAGGATCAGGGTGTTGTGCATCAAGGTGGACCTTACAAAGGGCAGTCCTGATGGAGACCCACACAGGCAGAAGGCCACATGAAGGCCTGCAGAGATGGGGGAAGCTTCCGCAAGCCAAAGGACACACAAATTGCAGCCCCCAGCAAAAGCCAGGAGAGAGGTCCAGGACAGATATCCCTCGCTCTGCCTCAGAAGGAACCAAGCTGCCCGAGAGAGCAATTTCGGATTTCTGGCCTCCTGAACTGAGGCAATAAAGTTCTATTGCTAAAGGCACCCAGTTTGTGGTGCTTTTTGAGAGCAGCCCTAGCAAACTGAGACCCTACCTGTGAGCAGTGGCCTAGGGTCAGGGTCTCTAGCAGCTGCTGAGCTGGCCCTTCCTGAGCCTTCGGGCTCTCACCCCCTTTCTCTCCCCTCTGTGGCCCTAGGCACCCAGGCCTTCTACATATTCATTTTAACAGCTTGATTGGGGTGTGACAGCTGTCAACACACTGTGAGCAATATGGCAGTCTGAGGGGCTTTGACTATGTACGTAGCCACGCAGCCACCACCCTTGTCAAGGTAATGAATAGACCTGCTCCCCTAAAGTTTCCTCATTCCCTACTCCCATCCCAGGCAATCACTGCCACTATCAATTACTTTGCATTTTCCAGAATTTTATATTAGTGGAAATCTCCAGTAGGTACTCTTTTTTTTTTTTGGTACCAGGGATTGAGCTCGGGTCCTTGAGATTTCGAGGCAGGCGGCAGAACCACTGAGCTAAATCCCTGGTCCCCAGTAGGTACTCTTTTTATTTTGATTCTGGGCTATAGGAGCTACCTGGCCCTCCTGCCATAGGTCTGACCTTCCCTCCTCCTGTGGTTCCTTTTTCCACCTCTGGCTAGCATCTCTCAGGTCTCAGCAGTTCCTCACAGAAGCCTCCCCTGGTCTCTAGACTGAAGACCCTTGCAACACAGTTTGCTGGCATTTCCCCCTGCTACTCAGCACAGATGGAAGTCAGCATCATCTGTGGCCCATTAATGGCTGGCTGGCTACCAACCTCTGCATGCCAAGGGGTAGCCATGATGGATTCTGCTCGCCACTATCCCTGGCTCCTGGCACCCACACGACACAGAGGTGCACCTGATGAACAAAGACATGCCTGTGCGATGGAAATGGCAGCAGCTGATCTCTGTGGCTAGCCTGGGTCAGTCCTGCTGTCTGTTCCAGTGACCTTAGCGGGAGGCGGTTAAGCCTTCCTTTCTTCCTTCTGATTCCTCTATTTCCTCCTCTTCAAATGGGTGCAGTAACAATGCCCACCTCACTGGGATGTTGTAAGGTTGAAGGGAAATGATGCATGCAGAGAATTTCAAAAGGCCCCTGCCACATAATTAACACTCGATTCCTGATGGTCAGCGTTCTGCAGGCTGTCAGGCTGTCCTCCCAGAGCTGAGCTTCTGACTCTCCTTCTGAATGATGGGGCTGCAGGGCCATGTCCCCCCTTCTTGCTAACAAGCTTCACGGTTACAAGCCTCTTAGTGGTTTAGTAATGCTGGAGAATTAGCAGAGCATGTTAAATCCCCCATGTGAGCTTGGTTCTGTTCCAGCATTGGGCTTTTAGAAGTGCTGACAGTGCTATGCTCTCCTGAAGTCCTCTCCCTGGGAACTCCGGCTGGAGTTATTTGGTGCAGATACTTATGCAGTTGAACCCATGAATAATGGCGCTGCAGGCCCATTGAGAGGTGGAGTCTCCAGCTGGGCAGCTGTAGTTGTGGACAGTGGGCTTCCCACTGACCTGACACCCACGAAGCCTCGCAGATTCCACGGCCCCTCAGCCTTCTCTGCAGTCTCCGAAGACTGTCTGGTGTAGGCTAAAGACAGACTGGGACAGGCTTTTGGGTGAGAAGGTTCATCCAGGTTGATGTGGCTATGGCCATATGAAGGCTGCATGAAGGCAAGGACAGGGGGTGCTGACCTCTGAGGAACCTGGGGACATGTTGGGCCAGGTCTCAGTGGGGTTTGGGCTCGGGGCATAACTCTGAACGTTGTAGTCTATGAGAACAGGTCTGCTCTGAAGTATAGTCATGTACAGCCTGGGTGACTACACATGGCCACCCTGTCTGGACTGCTGGTTTGGGGATTAGTGTTTCAAGGCAAGAGCTCAGCCCCTTGAGAACGTGGAGGAAAGCAGTGCTAAATGAGAAAAAAGCTGCTGATCTGTGGGGAGAGCAGGTGGCACAGAGCCCAGCCCCTCCACCAAAGCTGAGGACCTCAGGCCCTCGTGGAACCTCTATGGTTTCACCTGTATCACAGGGAAGTCAGAATGTCCACCTCCCTGTGTGGTGTCGTTGGGAGACCATGGGAGCTGGGGCTCACAGAATCTTTGTAATCTGCTGGACAGAACAGGCAGGCTGTTGCTCGAGGCCTTGTATTCCAGAGGACGCACTGTAGCTGTCCCTGGGAGAGACCCTGCACCATCACCACCTCTGTGTAAGATGTGGTTATCTGGGGCCTCCTGGAGACTGGAGCCAGCATCAGAGCCAGAGCCCTACACAGTGTGTGTAGGGGGCAAAGGGGGCCCCAAAGGAGGCTGAGCCTCCTCCCAGACAGCCTCCTGTTCCTGGGAAGTTCTGCAGCAGGTGTTTGTGTATCCCCAGCCGGCTTTGACATACACACACATAACCCGCTGATTCATGGGTCCTGTGGGGCCCAGTGTCTGTGGGGATCCACTGTCACAGGACCATAGTGAGGCTGGCCAGGGTCACTGGGGGAAGTTCAAGTGTGACACCTCGTCTTGGGTATCAGTGGCAGAAAGGAATATTCTTGGGGTACCCATGTCTTCAGGAGTAGGGTGTCATGGGGCTCTCCTCCCCAGACTCTCCCTTGCTCCGTGCTCAGTGCCAGTCTCTCTCTGGCGGCCTGTGTGGCTTCCTTCCCTGCCTCCCCCTCTGAGTGGACACAAGGCAGGGTCCCTTCCTACCCTGGCATCTTTCTCGACCTAACCTCCCTCCCCCTGCCCTGTGTCAGCATCTCAAAATCCCCTAAACTGAGCTACTGAAGCAGGTAGAATGTGGAGAGTGAAGACTGCAGATACTGATAATTCATTATCTTTTCCTTTTGTTCCTATGATATATATTATTCTTAATAACCCTCACATGATAACTTGGCAGGGTTGGTATTACTATTTCGATTTTACAGATGAGGAAACAGGCACGAGGAGGCTAGGACCCACACTCCTGACCACACAGTGGGCTCCCCCAGCTTCACCGGAAAGCTGGTCCCTCTTCTGCCACTTCTTTTCTTTCAAGGGCCACCTGTTTGAGGAAGCCTCCAGCCCTTTAATTTGTAGGACTGCACTGCTCACAGTACTCTCATTTATTTCTCCCTGACTTGGACTCCATCCTGCAGAGCCTGGGTGGGAGAGCAGGGTACCCATAGGAGCCCTGGGAGGTGCCCTGTCACAGTCTGCTCAGGCTGCCAGAACAAAACAGCACAGGCCGGGCCCTTAAGTAGACAGCCGCTCCTCAGTTCTGTTTCTGGTGGCTGTGGGGAATCCTGTGATGGCATTCTAACCCTTACCAGGAGTGTGACCTCTTGTTTGTGCCTCTCAGCCTCTATTTTTTCATTTGGGAAATAGGAATAATGGTAGTACCTGATTCTCCAGGTAACTTTGTGGAGAATATTAGGTGATTTATATACTGGCACTGTCCCTGGCACATGGTCAGTAAATGCCAGGGGCTGGCTGAGGGCAGGATGACATGGAGCCTGGAGCACACATCCTTGGGTGCAGGATGAGGTGGGATTTGGGGTGGTGTGTGCCCTGCACTTTATAAGAATCAGTCCCCACGATGGGCTAGAGAAGTTGGCAGTTGCTTTGCTGAGCTGGGCTGAGACAGGAGGGAAGGAGGGGATAAGTCTTAAGGTCCCTCAAGGTCATGGAAAGGCAGGGCCAGTCAGGTGTCCAGTGAGCTGTGTCAGTTCAGAAATGGCACCCATGCTTTGAGGCATGGACAGCCATATTGGAGGGTCAGAGGTCAGAGGAAGGGTCAGAGGTCAGAGATCAGAGGGAAGGCTTTCTTGGGGTCACCATCCTCATGTCCCTAGTTAAACATCTTCATCTCTGTGTCCCTCCTCTGCTGACGGGTGAGGCACAACTCTAAAGCTTGGTGGTTCTAAATGAAGTTGGTGGTATTCATGAGTTGGCGAGTCATTTAATTTTTTTAAATAAATAAGATTAAAACAGGGCCAGGGATTTAGCTCAGTGGTTTTGCCGCCTGCTGCACAAGCGCAAGGACCCGAGTTCGATCCCTGGTACCAAACAAACAAATAAGATTAAAACATTTAATTTGGCAGAGTGTTAAGTTTTTTTCTGTATGATCTATTGTAGTGAAGGTCATTTTAAAACATGACAGCTCAGAAAATGAAGAGTCAGGGTGTTTATAAATTAGAATTCTTCTTCCTCCCAGTAGCTGCTGCTTATCTGAAAGCCTTGAGTCCCAGAGCTCACCAAAATCAAGGGTTGGGCTGTTGCTTAATAACCCAAGGGCACTGGTGTTGAGTCTTGTAGCACATGCACCTCACTGAGGGCCCTGGTCAGCTGCTCCAGGGTCCTGTTAAGCGATACACCTGCTAAGAGTGGACAGGTGTCCCCTGTCCCCCAGAACTTCCCCAGAGTACTTTCTGGGTTCCTTCATGGCGTGGGGTGGGAAATGATGTGGGTCCAGGTGCCCACTTGGGACCCCCCTGGATGCTTCTTATGGGCTGAACCAATGCTGTCCCCTCCAAGTCCCCAAGATTCACAGGAGGGTGTCACTATTCCTGCTCCCTTCACCTGTACTCCAGCCTGGGGACAAGATGGAATCTATGTATATCTCCTACTCTCTTACTCAGGACCACACCTTGCCTGATGAAGAGGTGCCAATTGTGTGGCATTTTCCCATGTTGGAAGAAGATCCCGGCCCCAGACTTCCTATGTGCTGAATGCCGGTCCTACCTTGGGCTGATGACATGCAAAGCAAACTCCAGTGGGATTTCTTGACAGAGCCTTATCTTGGGAAGGAGAAGCCATCCAGAGGTGGGAGTTAGGGGTAGGAGCTGGGCTGTCCCGGGTCTTCCTGGCCTGAAGATCCATGCTTCTGCCATCCAGAGTACTTACTTCCTGACACAGGGGCCAAGGGCTAGATATGCAGGAAGTCATTTCACCCACACAACAGCCCCAAGTGGGAGGGCTGTTCTTTCCTGGATTTTCTATGTATGGAAGCTGTGGCCCAGAAGGGCTGTTTTTAACAGTCCATGGGCATGCAGCTATACATAATTGGAATCGGGACTTGTATCCAGACTTGAGGCTTCCCTTCCTTTCTAGCTGCTGCTGCTGCTGGCAGCCCTTGGTGTTCCTGGGCTTGCGGCAGTGTCACCTACATTCTGCCTTGTCTTTACATGGCCCCTCCCTCTGTGTCTGTCTCTGTGTCTTTTCCTATAAAGACACGAGTCATGTTAGATTAAGGGCCCCAGACACTCCAGTGTGACCTCATCTTAACCAATTACAACTGCAAAGTCCCCATGTCTATCACAAATTGGGGTAGAGGGGGCTAGGACAGTCTCTTTGGGGACCTTTCCCAGCAGATGGCTATGGATGGGGGGTTCATTGTAAGCAGCCAGGAAGGTGCTTTCTCCACCTGTCAAGACCTGGCACTAATGCCACATGCTGTGATTAGCATTTATTGAGTGCCTACTGCATGCTAGGGCTGGGCTGAGTGCTCTACAGACACCGCCTTAAGGGTCTCACTGCAGTTCCAGGAGCTGGGTTTCATTGTTATCCCTCCTGGACCAGGAGCCACCTACCAGGTCTCTCCATAGGTAAGTGATGTTTTCTATTTGGAAAGCTGGGGTCTGGGGTGGGTTTTATTCCAGGAAGGGAATAGCAAACACCTCTCTGCCCTCCCTGGTTCTTGCTCTTCTCTGGGCCTCCAGTTGCATCTGCCCCTACATGCTGTCACTTTCCAGGAAGGCTGGTGATGGCTTCTTGTGGTAAAGGGTTGGAATCTTGGGTGCTTCTTCTCCCATGATGGGGAGATCACACAACACTGTCTGTCCTTTAATAGAACCAGGGTGTTTCTGACACAGTGGTTTGTCCCTGAGTGAAGAAATCACAGCTCAGGGACAGGGGTCAGGGGCCTTGACATAGCTTTGATCCAATATGACATTTGTGACAGGCTGTCAGATCATCTGCTGCCCCGAAAGTGACACAGTCTACAGGTTCATTCATTCAGGTCCTGTTTACAGTTATGTCTCAAGAGCAATCAAGTCAGCAAGTAAGACCCTGTGCTTTTACGGGAAACCTAGCCTGTAAAATCACTGTGGTAGGTGACCCTGACAAATTGGGGGTTTGTACTATTCCTGCACTCTTACAGGATTCGAGCACTGCCGCTCTTACTGGCATCAAGGGACAGGCTGGGAAGAGAGCATCAGATTTGGGTTTGAGGTCAGCCTGGGCAGGTTCAGGCCTTAGCCACTTCCTTTATTAGCTTGATGGGACCTCGGGCAAGTCACCTGACCTACTGAGAGTGTCTTCTTGGAGAAATGAGGATAATAATAGTATGGCCATATAGCCCTGCCACTCAGGGGCTGTCTGCCTTTCAGGTGATTAGGCAGGAAATTTAAAAACCTTACACAAGAAGAATATCTTCTATTGGGTCGAAGCAGGAGGAGCAGGTTGGTGGGACGTGTGCCTGCCTGAGGCGGAAATGGGCACCAGGGAGGAACTGTGGTGTCTGTCCCTCCCACCTCCATTTCAAGGAGTGCTTTTGACCCCTCTAGAAGGAAGAAACGAAGTTGCTGCCTTGATAAAAGTAGTGAGGTTTGGGGGCTCAGGCATGATATTGGGGACAGCATGAGATCCTGACTGAAAGCCTGGCACCCCTGGGACCTGGATTGCGGCTCACGCTGAGGAAGCTCGGCTGGCTGGGTGCGTCGGGGAGATGGTGTCCCGAGAACACCACGGCAAGGGGCAGACGGAGCCTTTCCCTGAGGGGCGGCCAGGCAGCAGTGAGGAGGCCAGAGCGGAGGAAGTTGCTGATTGTCCGCCAGCTCCCAGGAGCACCCAGCAGAGGTTACAGTGAGAACCAGCCAGATGTGGGCTCAGTGGCTGTACCCACCTGCAGGTGGCCAGGACACGAGTTAAGTGAGTGTTTACATGAAGGCATTCTGATGGGGTGAAAGTGCTGTAGCCAACTCCAGTGTACCCCACTCTGCTACCTCTTTGTGATCCCCAGCCTCAGTTTCCCCGTTTGTGAAATGAGAATGATGAGAGTGAGCTCCTTCACCAGGATTGTTCTGAGGATCAAATGATGTGTACATTCACATATATTTTATTCCTGTGATATTCAGCGATATCCACTGTCATAAAGCCGAGAGTGCTGCTGTTGGTTGCTGACTCCTGGCCTTGGTATTCAGTGTTGTACGCCCGGGAGGCTGAGGCTTGTATCTGGCTGAGGGGGTAAATGAAGGCTCCTTCCAGGTTCCAGACTTTCTCGTTAGTGCTCAAAGCATGATTGTGCAAAGACCAGTTGGGAACACGCCCACGGACATACTGTAAAAGACTGCCCGGAGCCAAGAGCCAGGGAGGCAGCTGAGCTATGGGGGGGTGGGGCAGCTCTTAGGTTTTGCATCCTCAACCCTCATGGTTATCTTTTTTTTTTTTTTTTTGGTTCTGGGGATTGAACTCGGATCCTTGCGCTTGTGCAGCAGGCGGCGAAACCACTGAGCTAAATCCCCAGTCCCCCCTCATGGTTATCTTGACCGAGCATTATATACTGTTACTCTTTTGCCTGCCTGCCTGCTTTCCTTCCTTCCTTCCCCCTGCTCTTTCTTTCTGTCTCTTTCTCTTTCTTTCTTTCTTTCTTTCTTTCTTTCTTTCTTTCTTTCTTCCTTTCTTTCTTTCTTTCATTCATTCATTCTTTTTTCTTTCCATTTCTTTTTGTGGTGCTGGGTATTGAAACTAGGGCCTTTGCACTGAGCTATATCCCCAGTCTTTATTTATTTACTGACTTATTTTGGAGACAGGGTTTCACTCAGTTGCTCAGGTAGGACTTAAATGTTCCATCCTCCTGCCTCAGACTCTCAAATGCTGGGATTATAGGTGTGTGCTCCCATGGGCAGCTCATAGTGTTACTCTGACTCCCATGTGTAGACAAGGAAATCAGGTCTTAGGGAAGTTAAGTGATGTGCCAGGGTCATAGGGAGGTTAGAGACAAAGCTCAAATTGGAAGCAGGTGGCTTACTCTGGAGCCCAGACTCTCTAGCCATCCTTTTGCAGTTGATAGGAGCATAGACCATGACGCTGGGCTTCCTGTGGGTGGACCCCATCTGCACCTTGCTTCTGGCTAGCCAGCCCTGGACGCTGTTGTACCGCTCTAACAAAGTCATTTCCAAGTGGTAGCTTCCAGGATACACCAGACCCTAGGCTTCCTCCAGGAATTACATGAAGGGATTAGGAGGCAGACTGTTTCAGAATAAATATTGGGGCCCAGAATTATTATTTTTGTAAAATGGGTAAATTTTCCTCTCTTGCTTCCCCACTAGAAGACTCAATTGAATAAGTAAGAGAAAGAACTGCATGTGTTATTTGAAAACTGTTTAGTGCAATTACTGCTACAGATTTTGCTGAATTTGAAAATGATAGATGGCAAATCTTAATTTCCCAAGCTCTCCATCCTGGCAAGCAGTTTGTTAAAGACTAGCGGTGCGGCTAATCACTGGTGCATAATGCCCACCAATACATGGGTTTCCTTTTTATATAACACATTATGCTAATCACCCTGTATTCCATTTTTCAATAAAAGGTCAGCAGAGCACTGTTTGTTCAGAATGTGCAATTTAAACTTCATGTCTGTCATTAGAGATAATCTAGGTTTGCTGCATCAAGTGGGGTTGTCATAGAAACCAGACCCGCAAGCTCTGTTTACAGCCTTTGGAGAATAAACACTTTGCATTTATTTCTTTGGAAAGGAAAAAACCCCCAAAACATCAAAAATCGAACAATTAAGTAAGGTTTGAAAACAAAGCAGTACTAGCTCGGAAGAAAGAGGTATGTCATTCATCAAAAATCAATAACTGCCACACAGTTGTTCTATCCAGGCGTTCACGCAGGAGGCTGACGCAAGTGGTCAAATATTTCCCCTGGGAAGAGCAAGAAGGGGGAGCAATGTGTTATTATGCCGAGTACGGAATTAATTTAAGTGTGCTAATGGGTTTTATCCAAGCTATTATACCCTTGAAAAATATTTTGTGTGAATTGCATTGAGTGTCTGGTTGGTCTTTTTATGTCATGTGTTTGGACCTTCATTTTTGAACCCCAAATAGACCAGATGATTCTACATTACAGTTCTCTGGTTCTCCTTCTGTTATCTATAAGGACCCTCCTTGGAAGGAATCCTGGGCTTCAACATTTTAAGATCTTGTCTAAGTAGCATTACCATATTTATCAAATAAAATGACAGTATACCCAGTTAAATTTTTTAGTGTATGCCATAGATATTGCATGAGACATACTTTTACTGAAATTATTCATTGCTTATCTGAAATTTCAGTGTAACTGAGGATCCTGTGTTTAATTTGTGGTTCTGCTCCTGAGCAGTTTGAGAAGATGGGAAAGCAATTCTCTTACCTCTCCTGCCAGCCTCAGGCCTGAGTGTCCTTCAACTGGGGAATGAAGTATGTAACCGAGATATGTGTGTGTGTGACTAATCCTGTTAAGCCATGGTGTAATTGTGGCTCTAATTTGCTGGAGGTATCGGCAAAGTCAAGTTCAAAAAAGTCACTCAAAAGGGACCAAACACCCACTTGAGACAGCTGCTGCATAGGGAAAGCTTTTGCACAATCCCCTCACACACTGAAAGAGGGTCCCTTCTGCCAGGGATTTCGCTCAGTGGTTCCAGCACCTGCCTTACAAGAGCAAGGTCCGGAGTTCAATCCCCGGTACCAAAAAAAACCAAAAACCAAAAAACATTAAAGATTTGGGCCAGGAATTTAGCTCAGTGGTGTTGCTGCCTGCCTCGCAAGCGCAAGGACCCAAGTTTGATCCCCGGTACCAAAAAAAA